CTTTGTTTCTTTGTTTTGGGGATGTACATGTTGGGTTTCCTTACTGGTTTCTTGTATCTGGACAAGGAGGCTCCATCTGGTTTCTTATCCTCTATAGCCTTATGGGATTGCTTTCTCTTTAATTCATAGTTGTCTTTTTACTCTCCATCCTCCTCCTTTATCTGAGGATTGGCTATCACAGGTATTGGGGGTACCTTGTTTCTTGTGCCGCCCCATTGAGAGCTTGGCTCTCCTACTTTATATACCTCTACTCTCTTCTTGCCATAGTCTTCTGGGCTACTCAGGCACTTTCTCAGGAATTTTACCAATCATTTTATTATCCACCTCCCCTGATTGGAACACCAGGGGATAATTTCTCAACGCCACTGGAGTTTTACTACCATCTTTTATTTTTCTTTTCCTTGAAGACTGAAGGCTTGGCTTACAGTCATACTTTTATCTCACTTGAACCAAATTTTGTCTTTCCTTGGTTCTAGATGGACAATATACTCCTTGGAAGTGGATGACTTAGATCAAAGTTTCAGTTGCTTTCCCTACATGCTGCTTTGTCTGCTTGATACTTGTTTCTTTTGGTTCTTCCTTTTGTGTTATCTATGGTCCCACATGTTTTCCACTGGATTTGGTGGATTTTGCTTCCAGGTTACTTTCTTGAAGTCTACTCTTCCAGTACTCTTTGAACATTTGGTCTCTACTTGCCTCTTCCATCATGGTTTTTGATTGTGTGACTTCCTTTCTCCTTCGAGAGTTGTCTCATTTGGGGTGGCTGGTTTAACTTTCTCATTTTATCTTGACCTTTATCATGTAAATAATTCACTTTGGGGTCTTTTTAAATTCTTATGCAGAGTTGACTCAGCCTACTCCTTTATGTCTTTGAGACATGGAGCTTCTGAGAGGATTGTTTGTTTTGGTGACTCTTTTCTCATGAGTCCTTTGTTCCTCTTACATGTACATACATGCATCCCTTCAATAATTATGGCCATTACGTGCAGTTATATCCAAGGGTTCACTGTCTTTTTTTACCTTTCATTGTCTCAGTGGCTTATTGGATCATTCTTGCCTTAGTACATTCTTCTTCTTTCCTTCATCTCACTTGAACTTATATCTATTTGGAGCTCAGCAATAAGTCAAAATGCTTATGTTTACACATGTGGATATTCATACCCTTGCTGAACACAACATAGTTGTACCTTTTGCAGCTTTGTGCTTGATGACATCTAAACCTCCAAATGAGGTGTGTCAACCAATACATTTTATCAGGTGGGGTGCAGTTCTGGACACCTGATTCCTTTCTGGAGTTTGGTCTCTAGAGGAGTGGATTCTCTATATCTCTATCCTTGAGATATTGATTGCTCACCAGGCTTCCTATTATTTTCTGTTTAGTCTTTCTGGTCTTCTTATTCTGATATATTCAAATAGCTACTCGTCATTTCATTCATCCACTGAAAGGGTAGTACTCACTCTTGGAACCTCTGTTTTCCTTGCTCTAGATCTTAGACTGCCTCTGGCCATCAACATCCCACTTGAAATCCCCGACACATTATTGTCACATTTCTTTAACATGGGGAGGTTTAACATACCCTGGGTTTTGTCTACCAGGTCTCACAACCACATTATTTAATATATTTTTATGCATCTTATGGGTGGTGCTACCTCCGTCACTGTTCTTGTACAATATCCATGGCCTTGTCACATTTTATGACCATGTGTAAACTGATCATTGTATACATGTCAACAAAAACACCATATAACATGCAGAACTACCTGATCCATTCCTTGTGTTTGGTGTTATCACATACCATGTACAGTCTCCAAGTCTGTGATACACTTCATGACACTACTGTATGTGTACCAGTCTTTTCACACACATCCAAATAAAAACAAAATATGGAGGCAAAACACACCAAACAGGAAAAGGAAAAACTAAGGGAAAGAAAACAAAACCTAAACAAAACAACCACTTAACAAGTAAAACTAAACACTTCATTAATTATGTTTGGTGTTTTGGATCCCACCTAGTGGGCAATGATAGCTCTCAAGGAATAGTTATTTGAAATCCGCATCAAGCATGGAAAAAGAGTAGTGTGAATCCCACTCACTTCTACCTACCATTAAGATGGTGTTTTCTGCAAGAATGCTTTGGTGTTATATCTCTATGATTGACCTGGCCATTTCTGCACCTCTGACAAAAAAGCAGAAAAAAAAAGCATCATTTGTAGTTCTGCCCTTACACCTGACTTGTGCTTGCTGTCTTTAGTGATAGTAACCTATTGTGCTGTGTCTTGGTGGGGACCCAATTTCAGATGATTATGCCTGATCACAGTGGTCTGTGCAGACTCTACAGTGTTCCTATCTATGTGAATTCCCTCCCCCTTCCTATTTTGTAGTGGAACAGGATAACCTTACTTCCCTAGCCCCAAGCTTTTGGGAAGTCAACATAGATTTTCCTTTGTGAGTGGTTGTTGCTTCCCTCCCCCTGGTAAGACTGGTTGGTCATACAACTCATTTCAAATGTAGTGCTGAAGTATTACATGGAGATGTAGTGAGCACACACCATCACAATATTACTATTTTTAGTGCATATGTCAAGCACAATGGGACTTGGATTTGCCTTGGAATGCACATACGGGCTCCTTTCATTTGCCGGGTATCCTTTATTGCGCATGACACATGGTTTTAGTGTCTTACATTCAAAATTATTAAAGTACTTTTTGTTTATGTTATACCAATTAGAATAGCATAAAATCATAGCTAATAATTCATAATTTAATATATATACAAGTTTTAAGTTCTTAATTCTACAAGGCAATATTTAAAAAAATCCTAAATTTCCACTAGTGTGACCCACATGACCCTTTTTCTCTTAGCATGTCATCATCTCTATTTTTATCCACCAATGCTCAAAAAAGTATGAAATTAGATGTAAATTACTCTCTATAAAATCATTATTGCTTAGACAAACCATAATTTTTATAATCTTAAATTTTGTTTTGTTACAGAGTTATTGAATAGAAAATCAGACCCCTCCTTCCACACCCACCTGTCACATCTTCTCTTTCACAATTTTTTGATAATTCTCTGTTATGTTTAATTATAATGATGTATTGTATAACGATGTGTTCTGAACAAAATATTGTGAATTTCACTCACAGTACAAGTTAATGACTAGCTGGGATGAATTTGTAATGGCTCTTGTTGCACAGTTAGAAAGCCAGAAAAATCTTGAGAGTTAAGGAAATTTGTCTACTTTTTGCATGTTATTAGTCTATATTCTTTGGTGCATTATTTAATTAACTAAAAAGTATTAAATGCATAATTAGCATTACTATAAAAACAATTGTGGACAAGAAAAAAGAATATTGGGTAAGTACTTTATTTCTAGTTTTTCATATTTATTCTTTATTTATTATTATAAAAGTATCTAAAATCTAAAAATATGAATCATTTTAAGTTATTTAAGACTAGATTAGGTAAAATAAGTAATAATGATAATATAATTAAAATGATTCACAAAGCATGCACGCAAGTAGCTCATGGGTAACGTAATTCGATAGTGTATCATGAGCTGCACGTTCCCTGAGTGATTTACAACTAATAATGGCATGTATAGTAGTTAGACATGGTTCAAAGGGCAACAAAACAATAAAATTTAATTATAAATAGATTTATACTGTTACGAACTTAGAGCTATTTAGGATAAATGAATGTAGTTTCATGTTACAATTTGAAGTCATTCTAGAAAGAAAAAAGGGTAATTTAGGTTTATTTTGAATTTTTTGGTGGTTACGAGGCCGGTTAATTTGACCGATCTAGTTTTGAGATAGTGTAGAGAAAATAACAGATAAACTACAGATTTTTACTCAAAAAACGTTTGAAATGCATATAGGAGGCTTTTGGGATTACAAAGGAAATTTGAGATTTTTGAGATGATTAAAAGTATTTTTAATTCAAACATGAAACTTACTTTGCACACGGACTATTCAAAACAAGTACTCAATATATTCATGGACCAATCTTTATTTTAGTTTATTAAAAATACTTCACTAAAAATATGAATTTTGTATGTGAAAGACTTGTAATGTTAACTGAAAGACTGCCAAATTTTGTGAACATATACCAATGATATTGGGAGTTATAAGTTTTAAATTTACAAAGACTTTAAATGAGTACAAGAAGGTCACGTGGTCGGTCAAATTGACCGAGACTGTATTGAGAGAGTTGATAGCATCTATCTCATGTAAATATTTGACCAAAACAGGATTGTCTAAACCTGTATTCACACTACACATTATAATGTACTGCCAACCTTGGCAGCACCTAACCCTAAACACTTGATTTCTTGATATCCTTTGTTTTACTAACACAATGTCAAAAGAAGTAAATCAACATAAATAAAACAAATGACAACAATTGGGCAAAGTGTATTTCCTACTTGAAATGGATGCAGTTTCCCACAGAAAGGAGCTTATTTTTGTATTTGATCAGCACTGGCCCCTTCACCATCTTCATTGTCGGATTCTAGCTCTTAATGGTGCATATAAGTAAGTAATATTTCTGAAGTTAACATTTTTCTTACCTGAAAACATATTTAAGATAAATACTTACCTCTGTGGACCACCTCCCACCTTTCTATTCCAATTTCAGTGACTATCATTTGCCTAATCAAGAATGAGCCTATGATCATGTACTAGTTCTCACGAGGATTACTGCACATGAAGAATTTGTCACCCTGCTATTTGTAGAGGACTATAGTCTGATGATGATTACATCAAAAGCTGGGGCAATACGTGTTGACGTGGGAGTTTATTCAAGGCTTGTGACATGCAAAGGAAATTTTATGGTAGTGCATACAAGGTAATAGTTTTTAGTGATGCAGTGAAGTAAGTATCTATCTGAAATACACTTTCAAGTTAGGAATATGTTAACACTACTACTATATTATTCATCTTGATATTCTCCTCTTACATGTATCTAAACATTGTTTTTTTTTTAACATTTACTAGAGTTCAGTAGTTCAGAAAAGATGGAAGGAGGTGGTCAAGCAGTTTCTCAAGATTCTTTATCAATCAGACAATCAAGTGTTCCAGGTTTGACAGACGATGATGCTCTACAAGAGTTTCCTACTCCTGAACCATCTAAGAAGGAAAGTAATGCAAAAGTACAAGATAGAAATGAACATTTGAGTCAGAGCATTATAGAAAAAAGCATCTTGGATCAGCCAAAAGAAACAGAAGAATCACAGTCAGAATTATTACCTGTCCAACCAAGTTTTGCTGAAGATAGTTTGAGCTCTACAACTGCACCAGTGTTAGACCAAGCATCAAGCATTACTGAAGGTGGAGATGGTCAGTGCTATTGGTGAGTTAGTAACTGACTTGTGTTTTTTGTGAAACAAAAATTCAATTTGGCAACCAGTCAGCTAACAAAACAAACATGGTGTAAACTTACACAAACACAATTTTGATATACTGTACATTATTAGGAATGAAACAAAATACAAATAACTGTGTAGTGGTAATTTATGATGTTGTACAAACCTGTTTTTCTTCTGAATTCCATTGATATACTGTGAAATGTGCTACAAAGTATAGTTTGTGATTTAGCCTATTCCTATTTATGATATAAAAAGATCTTGGTTATTAAGTAAGTGAAACAAATTAGGGTTATATGTTAAAGCTGAAACCTACCTATGCAGTGTATGTTTTAACAACACTATTTAATAAAAAAACACACATAAGGAGACTTTTTTTATCATATAAACAGTGTTCAGCAATGTTTTAAGGGGTATATCTTATTTATATATATATATGCACATATACATGCTAGAAACCGATAAGTATTGAAAAGTGTAATAATCTTATGCAATATGTGCATTTTTTCTTTATTTGTAATTTTGCATTTAATTTACAGTTGTCACTGTTATGCTTTGTGGTGTTTAGATGACCTAAACATTCAGTTATCTGTGATTTCTAAAAAGAGAAAACATTAAGTCTATAATTTAAGATGAGTCTGAGTTGAGTTTTTTACAAATAATACAGGAGTCATAGCTAATGAGTTACTGTTTTATTGTATAAGTTCTGTTTAGGCTTTTAGACTTAAAGAAATCATGAACACTTTTTGGTTAAGAAAATGAGATTAAAAGTAGCAGGGTATTTTGGAATTGTGATTATTTTGAGATAAATAAATGTTTTGATTCTTAGAAATGAAATTTGAGTAATGGAACTTATGACAAGTTGTGGAAATATAATTGTTCATATATAAAAAAAAATCTAGTTTTTATTTCTCTATCAGTTTGTTAGTTATTTAACAACTCTTGAAAAATGCACTTGAAAGGTTAGTATATAGTATGTTTTAGAAGTTACATTTTCCTAAAATGAAAATGTTTTTCCAATAATACTTACATCACTGACACTCTCCCACCCTACCTCCCCATTAAAAGCTGATTTATGTCCTGAAAAAGTGATTAAATTATCTGAATGAGGTGCTTATATACAGTACCTAGATAGAGGGCACATTAAAGTTGGTGGAGAATTTTGAAAATTAGAATTTGCCAAGGGCATTTGATTGGGGGTATAAAAGACTGGAGCAAGCATTTTCAATGCTTAGATGGACAAAGAGTGGAAATCCTGGAGATCAAGAAATAGCTATAGTGTCAGCAGAGGTAAGTGTATTGAAAATACATTTTCAATTTAGGAAAATGTTAACTTCCGATACAGTACTGTACCTCTTCTCACATATAAAGCTATTCTCATTCAGTGCAAAAATTGTTTTCACATACCACAAGCCTTGCACTCCCACATACCCCACGATCATCATGGTTCAGTTGTGTCTCACATCATACGACAACCCTCCTCTGATAGGAATGTGGCACACCTTCCTGATGCATGTGGCTCTCTCTATTCGATTCTACTGAACTATCACTTCTTTTTAGGCAGTGCTCTAGTACAGACATTTTTTTGATTGTGCTGTCTTCAAGGGTTTTTCATTTCTTTAATATTTCATATGAACTGGGAATATTTTTTACTACAGTTTATTTCTATATTTTTATGTGGGAACTTACCTTTGTTGTTGTTTTTCTCTTTTGAAGTTCATTTTACCACTTTGGAGGTTCTACCACACAGGCTTCAAGTTGAAGGAGCTTGAATGAGGAATTTTCAGCTTTCATTCTTCAGGAGTTTGATTGCTGTATGAGTCAACCTTCTTCTCCCAATATTGCTAGACTTCCTTCTGAATCTGCTGAACCTGTTTGTGATGATTAGGATTTGGACAGCCTTTTTTCTCCACCTGACTATGCCATGCCTTCCCAAGCCTTTTCAGTGGAATCTGCTAGGTCTAACTCAGACTTTTTAAACATGATTTCTCATATGTTCTATTTTATCCATTTCCCTGATTTCTTATAATCCTGTTCCTTCTTTATTACATAACACCCCTTTCCTCACAGTACTTTCTTTTCTCTCCTTCTCTTGACATTAGGATTCATGGTGAACATTTTGTTTTTCAGTTGCAAGCTTGTGCTAGCAAGCCTCGCCCTCCATGGGCCTTGGATCATTTTGCCTTGGCTTGCCATCAGGCATATTACCCTTTTCTTGATTTTAAGCAGTTAGAATCCCTTTTGCCTGTATTGGGGCTGACCCTGACAATCCTATTCGTTTATCCCACACCCAGTTTTCCTGCCTTTGTCTTGCCCTTATGACACTCCTATGGCCCTTGTCCACCATATAGCTCATTTCTGAGGCACTCCACCAATCTACTGAGGGATACATTCTGTTAGTGTGATTATCCTCTTTGGCTCTTTCCTTTCACACGTGGTTTCTTTGCTGTTGGGAGGGATGCTGTCATGTTCCAGGTTTGTTTCCCATCTACTTATCTTTGGGACTTGTGGATGGTTCCTTTTCTCCATCAGTTAGTTTTTGGGGATATGCCTAAGAATTTGGAATCACAGGTGGAATCTGTGAGACAACATTCGACCCCTTCATCTTTGGTTGCTCATTTGTCTCATTCTGAGCCCCTGTTACTTTCCACATCCTGCACCCTCCCATTCTTTACCTATTCCTACCACTAGGGGTTCCACCATTCATCATGTTTCTTGACATAGGTTTCATTGGTACCAGTAGTACTGATGACTATTCTGAAGGTTCTGGTTAAGTAGGGCTCATTTGGTCGATTTTGTTATCCTATGGCTGGAATTCACTGCCTGTTCTATTGATATCCAGGTTTTGTTTGAAGGACTTTTCGTTCAATGCCTTTCATTTTCTCCACTACCCATATAATTTCCATTACCTCATGATCCTACTACTATTTGATGTCTGTACAAGGCAGTACAGACTCTTCTATCACAGAGAGCTATCAAGCCTACCAGCCATCATTCCCCATGATTTTATGTCATGTCGTTTGTTTCACCCAAGACAACTGGTACTGATTTTTGGATCTTCCCTGTTTTACTATGGAGTCCTTTTTCCCACTAAGGTGGGCTTTTTCCCCAGGACTCTGGATGACCATGGTAGATGTCTCGATTGTTTATCTCCATATTCCTATTTCTCATCAATCAAGAAGCTATCTTTGGTTTGTCCACCATGGGGTTGTGTATCAGTTTTGCAACTTGCCCTTTGTCCTTTGTATGTTCTTTGTTAGGTGGTCAAAGCCTTTGCCTGACTTAAGCATGCTAAGGGGTTGCGCTTACACCACTGCATTGACAATGGCTTCTGTTTGCTCATTCCAAACTTGAGTCATTCACAACATGCTCATCTGCCTCTGACAAAAGCTGCTTGAGTAGGTTGGATTATGAAGTTGGAGAAGTCTTTCCTGTTATTACATACCCAATATCTTACCCACTTGGTTTTTTTCCCCACACCTACCTCAGTCGGGCCAAATCTTCTCCTCTTTGACTCTGATGGATCTTTCAGTTCTCCATGCCCTTGCTTTTCCCTCTCTTCCTGCTTGCAAGGTTCTATCACATTTGGGGATGTGGGCTTTTATGGAAGCACTTATTGCCTTTGGTCAGGCACATATGCAGTCTCTTAAGTGGATTCTGCATGACCAATATGATCTTGCTCAGGATCCCTTGGATTCTCCTATTACCCTTTTTCCTTCCCTCATTGATGGTGGAACAAGGCGCACACATCTTGGTCTCTTGATCATCAGGTTTTCCAGTGGCTATGCTCCCAGTGGGGTACTCCTCAGCTAGATGCATTTGCCACTTTCCTCAATACCAAGGTACCTCCATTTTGGTCTCTGTTTTCTTATCTACATGCTCTAGCTGTCGATGTGATTAGCCCGGATTGGTACAAGTGGTACCTTTATGTTTATCCTCTCATCCGACTTCTTCCCTGAGTGATTTTGAACATCCATGCCACTTCATGTCAGAGCTTTCTGATTGCTTCTTACTGGCTGACTCAACCATGGCTTCTTCATCTACTTCAGCTCCAAACTGCCTCTCCTTTGTCTTCATGCCTGCCATTTATCAGGTCCTTGGCGAGGAGATCTGGATTGTCTCAGCAGGTTGCTTCCTTTTTAGCTCGTTTCATTCACTCTTTCTCATTGGCAGTTTATCAACATAATTGGAACGTTATCCAACATTGATCTTTGTGTCTGGGTTTTCCCCTTCTCAAACCACTGTTCCTCTTATTACGGATTTCTTCACTTGGCTGTTTGATCATAGGACTTTGGTCTTGTCCATCGCTGGCTATTGAGCAGCCTTGTCTCACACCTTTTGTTTTTCCCAGTACTGTTTAATGTTTATCTCCCCTACATTTTCCATTTTGTTGCATTCCTTTTGGATTTGTAGACCTCCTTGTCCGGTGGTCCTTCCACATTTGAATGTCAGCGTGGTTCTTTACTACCTTAGTCTATGTTTGCTCCTTTGTCTTCCTGTTCGTTGTTTCACTGGTCCCTTATGCCTTATTTCTTACTCCTTTTTGCCTGTGTGTGTCATCGGTTTGATGTATTTGCCATCAACGTTTCATGCACTCTGTACCATTCCACCTATGTTATCCTTTATCCAGGTAGATCTTTCTTCCCCAAAACTTCTGCAGCTCGTGAGGGAAATTCTTCCTTCTCACTGATTTCTCTTCTTTCCATCTTCCACCTTTATTCCTGGTCTGATCCAGATAGACTTTTATGTCCCATACGTGCTCTTTGTTGTTATATTGCTTGCACAACTTCCTTCTGTGGGTCCTACCTTTTCATTCCCTGGCAACATTCCTCTGTTTGTGACCTTTCTCCTTCCACCCGTACCAATTGTGTTTGGCTTTTGATTCAATTACTTATTCATCCTTGTCTCCTTCTTCCCGAACTCTGTTCCAGGTGTTGACACATCAGATCAGACACCTTACTCTTTCTCTGACGTCTCATTTCCATTG